TTGAGGGGATACGGTGGTTTCCTCTGCCCCCATATTTTCATACTATCAGGGGTTTGGTACACGGTTTGGTACAGTAACAAGAGACCACGAGGCTTTGGGTCCACACTAAGCTGGGAGTTGGATCTGACACCCCCATATCAAGGGATGCTAGAAAAAAATCTCATCATTGGCCAAGGGAATGACAAGGAAGCGTGTCTATTTCTGCCTGGGCTCTGGGTTGAAAACAAAACAAAAAGTTTTTTTTTTTTGAGACAGAGTCTTGCTCTGTTCATTGGGCTAGAGTGCCGTGGCATCAGCCTAACTCACAGCAACCTCAAACCCCTGGGCTCAAGCGATCCTCCTGCTCAGCCTCCCAGTAGCTGCATACCGGCATGCGCCACCATGCCCGACTAATTTTTTCTATTTTTAGTAGAGACGGGGTCTCACTCTTGCTCAAGCAATCCTGCCTCGGCCTCCCAGAGTGCTAGGGTGGCAGCCGTAAGCCATCATGCCTGGCCAAATATTTTTTCCTCTTAGAATTTGAGGCCATGGGCCTCCATTCACAGAGACTTGGGTCAGAAAGCCCCAGGTGAGCAAGGAAGGCAAACTGCTTCGGGTTTGCTACGGTTTTGGGCAACTCACACAAAACCCGTTTGGGGAGGCCCCACCCACCACACTGGCCACATGAGGCTCACAGGTAGAGTCCCACTGAAGAGGAACTCAGGTCCCAAGGTGACAAAGCACATGAGGAAACAACCTTCCATGCGTGAGGACAAAACCCAGATTTGTCACCAGAGCCATCGAGGCTTCGCCCGGTCCAGGCCCTCGCCCTGAGCTCCAGCCACGTGAGCCTGCTGGGCTCTTGGACTCGCCAGACCTCTGCCCCTCGGAGCCCGGGAGCTGCGGTTCCTCTGTCTGGCCCGCCCTGTGTGCTCCTTCCGGTCTCAGAGCAGACACCTAAAGCCTGCCCCCACGCCCCGCCCTCCCAGCTCCCTACTCTCCTCCTAGCCGCTGCACAGCAGCCCGCCCCGCCTGCCCCAGGGCCTGGTCTGCCTGCCACGGGCCTGGCACGCAGGGCCCAGCAGGGGTTGCTCGGTCATTCCCCGTGGAGTGAGGGTGCAGTGCATGCTTCTTGTGAAGCTCACTTGCACGTGTCTCAGACTTCTTAAAATTTACAAATGAGGCCAAAGCATACAGATGTAGACATGCAGAAAAGCAGCAAAATATTGAGACAACTTTCACCTTATGAGATGGTTTGGATGTTAGCATTATTGTTGCAGATCATTCTGCTTCATTGTACAAGGAAACTCACTGCCTCACTAGAGTTAAATGGAGCCTTGGATTTGCACAGACACACCCCGAGTCTCTCCTGCCCCCCTGAGTCCCCCAGCGCCCGGCTCCCGGAGGAGCTCGGCACAGCCACCGTCCCCTCCTCTAGGGACGCCCCACTCCCGTGGTCCCGTCTCCTGCCCTCATGCCTCCTGCTCAGCCCTCTGCCTGGGCCACCACCACACCCTCCCGCCTGGACCCTGGGCCCGCCAGGGCCCTTCTGCTGTGCACACTCCTACCCCCCGGCCAGCCCCTCCTCCCCCATGCCGCCTCTGACCCACCCCACCCCGCGAGGGCTGCCCTGCCTCTGGCCCGACTCTCCACTCAAGCCCGCATCTGCACTTAGGTTTCAGGTCCCCACCCTGTGAGTACAGTGCCCGCCTCTGCTGCTGAGGCTGGTGCTGTTGGGCCGCTTTCCCTCCGCATTTCTGTCATCCGCGACCCCCGGGCAGGGCTTTTCCTGCCTGACTCGCAGTGTGGCCCCCAGATCCTGCCACGCGCTAGGGAGCCTTGGCGCCCATGGGGACATGCCCAGCCGCGCCCCGGCGTGGCAGAGCCTGCAGCTCCTGAGGCTGGGCTGCGTTTGTCGCTGGTGGTGGCTGGTGTCCCTTCCTGGGAGAGCCGCTTGTGACGGGGCCGTCGGGGACGACCTGTGACTCGAGCAGGGCCAGTCAGAGCCTCCCCCGGGACAGATAACTCCCCACGAGAGACAAGTTCTCTGCCAGTGGAGTTGCCACGATGGCAGGATGCCGACCTGGGTGCCGCCCAGTCCCGCCCGCCAGGTGGAGGGGCGCCCGAGGCCCGCCCGCCGGGTGGAGGGGCTGCCAGAGGCCACGCTGGCCAGAAGGGAGCAGAGCCTGGTGAGGACAGACAGACTCCTGGTGGCACCATTTGTGTAGCTGGATCCAGTCAAACCTGAGTATAGATCCACCCTGTCATGGTTGAATTGTGTCCCTCCAAATTTGTTTGAAGGTCCCAGTCCCCAGTACTTCAGAATATAACTGTGTTTGGAGACTGGGCCTTCACAGAGGCAATTAAGGTTACAGGAGGCCGTGTGGGCGGGCCTAATCTGTGTGCCTGCATTTGGAAATGGGGCCGTAAGCTAGATGGAGGCTGCAGGGGCCTAACCCAGCATGTCTGGTGCTCTTACGCCTCAGTGTGCTCCGGCTGCTGTCACGAAGTGCCGTAGACCGAGTGGCTCATGAACAACAGAAACGTGTTTCCCACAGCTCTGGAGGCTGGAAAGTTCAAGGTCAAGGCGCCCGCGCATTTGGCGTCTGGTGAGGGCCTGCTCCCGGTTCTCACACGGCACCTTCCCGCTGTGTCCTCGCATGGTGGAAAGGAGAAGCGGGCCCTGGGCCCCTTCTCGAGGGCACTGTCCCATCATCCGGGCCCACCCTCACGCCCTGTTTGCCTCCCGAAGGTAAATAGGTGTCTCTCAACCTTGGAGATGAGGATTGCGCCGTAGGAATTTGTGGTGGAAACATTCAGACCGTAGAGACTTTCAAGAGGGAGGGACCCGGATGTGTGTGCACAGAGATCTGGCGTGTGGACAGGCAGCAAGAGAGTGGCCATCTGCACGCTGGGGAGAGGTGTGGGGTGAACCTACTGCTGCCTACATCCTGGTCGTGGACTTCCAGCCTTCAGTGTGGCGAGAAAATACATTTATGTTGTTTAAGCTACCCCATGTGTGGTATTTTGTGATAGCAGCTCAAACAGAAGACGGGTAGATACATAGGAACAGAGGACCAGAACTTCTCCCCTTTCCCTTGGGCTTGTCAAGTTCAGCTCTTGTCACTCACAACTGGAAGAGTCCTGCCTAATGAAACTGTCTCCCTTAACTACCGAGAGTTAATTATCTCCCAAAACTTTTCCGCCTATGCAAATGGGAATTACAATACTTCATGCTCTGCCCAGTTTTCCTAGCCATCAGCTTTCTCTTGCTCTCCTTCCAACTGTTCCCAGTCTTTGATCTCACAGGTGGGACTTCAGTTCTAGGACACTACATTCTCTAGTGTCTATGAAGACCCTCTCCGTTTCTCTTCCTCCTTCCCTGCCCCACTGGGTACCAGAGTCTGCCCACTCCAAGTGCTCTCTCCCTCCAGCTCCTTGCCTCCCCTACCTTCCCCTCATCATCCCATCACCCTTCCCTAGCCCCCTGCCTGTGAAGACTCAAACCCAGACCAATGCTACCATCTACTTTCTCTTCTACTATAGTCTGAATGCTTGTGTTCCTCCAAAATTCATATGTTGAAACATAATCCCTAATGTTTTGGTATTTGGAGGTGGAACCTTGGGGAGGTGATCAGGTCATGAAAGTGAAACCCTTATGAATGGGATTAGTGCCCTTTATAAACAGACCCCAGAGAGCTCGCTTGCCCTGGCTGCCATTTGAGAACACAGCGACAAGACAGTACCTAGGAACAAGGGAGTGGGCCCTCACCAGACACTAAATCTGCCAGTGCTTTGACCTTGGACTTCCCAGTCTCCAGAACTACAAGAAGTAAAGTTCTTTCGCTTATAAGTCTGTTATTTTGTTGTAGCAGCCCAAATGGACTAAGATGTCTTCCAATGACCACTGCTGGGAGGAGACACAGCAATGATGCTTGGTGCCATTAACAATTAACAACCTCCAGTCACCACTGGGCCTTCACTGCCGCTCGCCAGCCATTCTCCTTGCCCTGGTACGGAGCCTGCGCACCCTCCTCAGTGGCCCTGCCGGCCACCCTAGCACATCACCACTCTCCCCCCCCCCGCCCCCGCTCCCACCCACATCACTTTCAGCTGGAGGCCTGGCCCTGCCTCCTTTGCTGCGAAAATAAGCCACGGGGTGGGAGGTGGTCGCCTCACCCTCCCCGACCCTAAGGGCCACCTAAAGGTGAACAGGAAGGAGAGAGAAAATTTGCCATGGGGTTTTGAGGATAGGGACAAGTCGCTGCTTTAGGCAGTGCAGTTTCCGTGCCTGGTGCTGGTGAGCGGATGGGAGGGTGTCAGAGTGATGGGGCTGAGGCGGGAGAGATTGTGCGTGTTTATATCCTTTGGAGAAGGAGCCAGAAAAGAAAGAATGATTGAAAATTTAGGAGGCATGAGGGATGATTAATGGAGTGCAGTTCCTGAGGAGGCGGAGGAGGTGGATTCCTGGGCACTGGAGGTGGAGCTGGCCTTGGACAGGAAGCGAGATGCCTCTTTCTTTGAAAAAGGCGAGGAACATATCAGCACCGCCAAAGGGGAAAGCGTTGCAGGTGTTGGGAGGCACTTTTTTCCTGTGACTGCGTCATCCTGTACAGGTGAACGTTATTGCTGAAAGTGAGCTGGGAGGAGAGCAGAGATCTGGGGAAGAGGAAAGCACGTGGAATGCTGACAGAGCACGGTGTTGGGAAGGGCTCACTCCGGCAGGGACAGGCTGAGGATTTCTGGGCAGTACTGATGCCCTGGCCCCGGTCCTAGGGATGGAGACGCTACAGAATGGGCCTCCCTTAGTGTCCCCCGTACAGACCTTCAGCCTAGCACTTAAACACCTGACTATCTTTCCAGAAAATACAGGACACAGGGTAAGAGGGGAAAAAAGAGAGAGAAAAGTTTGATGAACATTAAATGGCAGCCCCATAATGAAAGGACAGGGCAGGGGCAATACATGAACAAACAATGGTTGAGAATTTCTCCAGAACCAATAAAAGACACCAAAGCACAGATTGAACAGGCCAAATAAATATAATTCATGACAAATACAGAAAGGCAGCTACACTCAGTCACATCGAACTTTTAATGCCAATACCAATACCCCAAAGCCCGGGAGGCCTGTGGAAGGCCTGGGAAGGCGCCCGGCCCAGGAGAGAGGCCAGGGAGGTGTCCTGGAGCATGTGATGGAAGGGCTGTGGGCTGAGTCCCAAGTGACACGTGGACATCAGCCAGGTGAGACAGCGAGCGTGGGGTGCAGAGGAGGAAGGGCACTGGCAGAGGCCACAGCGTCAGCCGAGACGCAGGATGAGAAAGGCATCTGTCAGAAACTCACAGGCAAGGTGGTGTCCTGAAGACTGGAGGGTGAGGCAGGCCCAGAGATGCCGGAGACACAGAGACTTCACAGGCAGAGACAGGAACAGATGGATTATTTTCAAAGGAGCAGAAGATCAGAGTCACAGCTGAGTTTTCTTCTGTGACAATAGAAGCAAGATAAAGTGGAACATGGAAGAGCCCAGGCTACTGAAAGAAAGTGATTACCAATGCAGCATTCCAAACTTGGTGAACATGTCTCTCAACTATGAAGGCAGAGAGAGAGGGAGAGAGAGAGAGAGAAGCAACCGACAGTGTTTGCTACCAGAAAACCATCTCTAAAGGACCTTCTAAGATATGTGTCAGAGAAAAATGATTCTGATGGAAGACCTAAGATGCAAGTGATAGGGAAACCCCTGCGAGGGCCCTGCTGATTGGATTCATGTGAAGCTCAGGCTGATCCTACTAATGATTCAGAAAAGCCCCACCCGAGGGCCCTGAGGCAAAATACATGGGAACGCTTACGGCTGATCCTACTAATTAGATGATAGTGGATTGGTTGTGTAAATGTATAAGACTGGGGAAAAATAAGGACGTGTGCTCAGAGTTTGGTGGCGTGCCCCTCTGAGCCCACCGGCGTGATGAAAGGCTGATTCTCGACCCTCTGTGTGCCGCTCGGTTCTTTCCTGGTCTATCGCTGGAAATCTGCCGTAACACAAGGAATAGAGAGTAGAGAATATGATAAATATGTCTGTAAATCAAATTGAACAGTGAATGTATAAAATAGTAATGATAATGTCTTTTGGAACGCAAAAATATAGCATTGATATTTCATTGATGATAAAATGCCACTAATGGTAAGTTACACAATTTATATCACTAAAAGAAAAAAATGCTGCCAATGAAACTATGACAAACATTCTTTTTTTTTTTTTTTTTTTTTTGAGACAGAGTCTCACTCTGTTGCCCAGGCTAGAGTGAGTGCCGTGGCATCAGCCTAGCTCACAGCAACCTCAAACTCCTGGGCTCAAGCAATCCTCCCGCCTCAGCCTCCCGAGTAACTGGGACTACAGGCATGCGCCACCATGCAAGGCTAATTTTTTCTATATATTTTTAGTTTGCCAATTAATTTCTTTCTATTTATAGTAGAGACGGGGTCTCGCTCTTGCTCAGGCTGGTTTCGAACTCCTGACCTTGAGTGATCCGCCCCCCTCGGCCTCCCAGAGTGCTAGGATTACAGGCGTGAGCCACTGCGCCTGGCCTCAATGACAAACATTTTAATGTAGTTCTGAATAGCATATGACTCAGAACATCTCGTTGATTTGAAATTTCTTTGATTTGTTCTAGAGGACTTCTAGATTTCTTGGCAATTTCTCCCGACTTCATTTGCATCAACAGGTGATGACGTAGATTACACTTTTGCTTTTGTCTTAGTAACAAGGAGTAAGTTGCCTTCATCCACATGCGGGTATCTGTCTTGCTTAGGTTCTATAAAGCCTAAGACCTGTAAGCAACCCGGCTGTTGCTTACACACAGAAATATGGAATTTTGGTCATTCCTCAGACAAATAACATGGGTGTCACAAAAATGAAATGCATGCCTGCTCTTTTACTCCTGTGCCCTGCTGCACACACAATAACTTTTTGTTTCAGTACCACCGAATAATGTAATCCTTTTGAAAATGTTTGCAATGGCAATAAATTAAACATATATCAATAAACACATAAATAAAGTGATACAGGTTGAGTATCCCTTATCGGAAATGCTTGGGACCAGAAGTGTTTTTTTGTTTTTTTTTTTTTTTTGCACTAATCCATGTGGGTATCAGAAGTGTTTTTGGATTTTGAAATATTTACTTTATACTTACCAGCTGAGCATCCCAAATCCAAAAATTCAAAATCCAAAATGCTCAAATGAGCATTTTTCTTTTAGTGTCATGTCAGCGCTCAAAGATGTTTGGATTTTGAAACATTTTGGATGTCAGATTTTCAGGTTTGGGATGCTCAACCGTAATATGAACAGCCATGACTGGGTTCGTTCACGTGCAGGCAAAACGACTGTTATCAGGACAGTCACCTGGGACCAACGGCAACGGTAAACGACCATCGAGTGTAGGACATATCTCAGTTTCAGAGATGACAGAATGTGGAGTAACTTGCACACTAGAATTGATAAAATGCCATAGAGCATGTCTTGACAATAGAATGGGAGTTGGGAGGAGGGAAAATACAGTTAAACTGATCTAAGATCTATTATCTGGAAGGAGGATAAAGGTTTTAATTAATTTGGACTTTGATAACAGAAGTACACCTGTTGTAATTTCTGGCTAATCAGTAAAAACATAAAGAAAATATCTAATCACCTAATTTTTAACTAATAGAAAGGAAAAAAATGGATTATAAAAATACCCAATCAGGCTGGGCGCAGTGGCTCACACCTGTAATCCTAGCACTCTGGGAGGCTGAGGTGGGTGGATCGTTTGAGCTCAGGAGTTCAAGACCAGCCTGAGCAAGAGCGAGACTCCATCTCTACTAAAAATAGAAAGAAATTACTTGGACAGCTAAAAATACATAGAAAAAGTTAGCTGAGCATGGTGGCACATGCCTGTAGTCCCAGCTACTCAGAAGGCTGAGGCAGATGGATCACTTGAGCCCAGGAGTTTGAGGTTTCTGTGAGTTAGGCTGACGCCACACACTCCAGCCAGGCAACAAAATGAGACTCTGTCTCAAAAAAAAAAATTCCCAATCAATCCAAAAGAAGGCAAGAAAAGAGAAAGAATAAACATAAGAAACTAACTATGATGGCATATTTAAATCCAGGTGCAATAATAATTATATTTAGTAAATTCACTTAAATCCAATGAAAAGACAACCAGACTGAAAGTCAAATTATATGCTGTTTATAAAACATATATCTAAACCTTAAGCTCTTAAATTGAAAGCAGATGTGATAAGAAAAAAAAAGGAGCTATACTAATGTCTGACAAAATGGACTTTAAAGCAAGAATGAAGAAGAAAAACAGTGTCCAATATCAGGAAGATATACACATTTTAAAACAGACTTGAAGCTAATAACATGCCTCAAGGTATATAAAGCAAAAACTGACAGAATTTCAAGAAGAAACAGACAAATCCACAATCATTGTGGAATATTTTAAAACACATCTCTCTTCTCATTAGAGCAAGCAGGCAAATAAATCAGTGTGAATAGAGAGTTAAACAGCATGATTCACGAATTCAATTTAAAGAATATATATGTGTGTATATATTTATATACACATACACACATATACACTTCATTCAGCAAGTGTAGAATACACATTCTTTTCAAGGCCACATGAAATATTTATCAAAACTAAGCAAAAAATATGCCACAAAGATTACAAAGAATTGAAATCATGTTAGTATATTTTCTGACCTTCTTGGATTTAAGCTAGAAATAAGAAAAAGAGGACTATTGGAAAAAACTGATCTGCCTTTTAGAAAACCTCATGGGGCGGCTTTGTCAAAATGGCGGACTAGGGATGCCCTCCTGGCTCTCTGCTCTTGGAGTGGGGGGTGGAGAAGGCGGCCTGAACCACTCGAGTGGGTAGTTCTCCCACAGGATCAGCTTCACGGAACTGCAGGGAAGCTTCTAGGGGCAGCAGCGCCGGGAAAAGGAGGAAAGTGACTCAGTGGATTTGCTGTGAAGTTCCGAGAATCCGGGTGGTACTGTGGGGATTGTGGTGTTTGCTGGCCACGCTCAGCAGCAGCCACACGGCTGTGTGATCCTTCCCACGGGGGACGACTTCTCCTTCACTGACCTCCACGCCCACGCACGCAGGGAAGTGCCTGAAGACAGCGTGAAGAGGTAACATGGACAGGAAGGCAGGTTGGAGAGGAGGCAGGAGCGGAAAGTAATTTGAAATCTCCAGGGCACCGTGTAAGGTCGCCTTTGCTGGGAGATCTATAAACACCAGCAGCTTATGCCTCGCTTGTGAAGGGACAGAAAAGTGACACAAATTGCTCATTTGACTGAGTTGCCCGGTGGACTCGGGCGGTGGCCCAAGCCCTGCAAGGGAGGGAGTGGAAGAGGGGAGTGAGAGCCGTCCTCCGGGACCCTCCTGGGGTCTCCAGTGGCCCAAACCCCACCGCCACCGAGGACGCGCAGATAGTTTTCGCCCCTCGGTGGAACTTGTCCGGTTCCCAGCCGCTTGAGCTCTGCCGGTGAAGGGACAGAAGGCGGGGTGAAAGCCATCCTCCGATGACCCTCCCCATGGGTCTCCAGTGGCCCAAGCCCTGCCGCTGCGGGGACGCGCCATATAGTTTTCACCCCTCGGCGGAACTTGTCCACGGTTCCCAGCCCCTCGAACTCTCCTGGTGAAGGGACAGAAGGTGGGGTGAGAGCCATCCTCTGCGGACCCTCCACAGGGGTCTCCAGCAACTCACGCCTCGCCACCGTGGAGACGGGAGGATAGTGTTCACCCCTCAGCAGAACTTGTCTGCGGTTCCCAGCTGCTTGAACTCTCCTGGTGAAGGGACAGAAGGTGCGGTGAGAGCCAAACTCTGCGGATCCTCCCCAGGGGTATCCAGCGTCTCACGCCTCGCCGCTGCAGGAACTCATGAATAGTTTTCGCCCCTCAGCAGAACTTGTCCACGGATCCCAGCCGCTTGAGCTCTGCCAGTGAAGGGACAGAGGTGGGGTGAGAGCCATCCTCTGCAGACCCTCCACAGGGGTCCCACACCCCGCCACTGTGAGGCACACCCTGCTAGTTTTTGCCCCTCCGCGGA